TCACCCACTTTATAATGATATCTAGCATGCCACTCACCCACTTTATAATGATATCTAGCATGCCACTCACCCACTTTATAATGATATCTAGCATGCCACTCACCCACTTTATAATGATTCCTGGTGGTGCTCCAGTAGTAGAACAAAGGGTACAAAGCTATGGCGCTACCTTTCATCCACAACCATGTGGTCACTACTAGAGGAAACTTTCCACACGCCCAGATGATCAGGTCAAAGTCCAAGACAAGTCTGGAACATACATTACTGTGCTGTTGAGGAAAACTGACACAAATGGACAATATAGTTACTCTGAACAAGCATACATCAAGTGAATCTGTCAATGTATATATCATTATGATACATGTTTTTTGTTGTTGTTTTTTATTATAAACCAGATATCTTAAAACATATACAGAAATAACTGGAAATGCATCTTGTGTGAAATAAAGCACATTGGCGAGCAAGACTAGTTTTACAAAGAAAATAAAGCCAAGACAGTCAGACAAGCAGACAGAGAGACAAGCAGACAGACAGACACAGACAGACACAGATTATAGCAGAAAAAAACATGGTGAGGTTATGGGGTTAGATTTTAATAATTGGTAACTCAGGATAAATTCTAAATTCAATCCAACATGCTGAATGCAATCAGATTAATACCCCACTTCCTTACACTGAGATGAATATAGAAAAGTGGTGAGGATGTTGGAAACAAGAAGAGGCGTGCTAATCATTGGATTTGAGCCCTTGGTATACCTTATACTTTACAGTCTGTACCGGTTCACTTAAAGACAGCTCAGCATGATTGTCTAGTAATTGTGCTTCAGGGCTTTGTACTCCATTTCACAAGTTCTACACATTCAGCTAATTTCTTGCTGTGTTGGTTTTAGTTGATGTATTAGCTGCAGGGGCGGATCCAGAGATATTTTCTGATAGTCTTCCAAATTATCTTTGTGGATCCATCCTCCATTTTTGACCGTCTTCCGACAGAAAAAGATAGATACCATTCAATGTAAACTTGAAAATCTGACCGTCTTCTGGAAGACCCAGAAGACGGCTTAAATCCGCCCCTGAGCTGTGTCAAGTGTGGAGGCTGCATTTTGATGATGCTCTTATGTAAAAGCCAGGTAATTAAGTTGCCAGTCTCTCATACTGTACCGTTACTGACTGCACGGATAAAGTACTATTATATTATACTATAAATTCTTACAATATGTATATGCTGCAAAACAAGCAAGGCAAGTTTTCATGAGGCATTAAGATGATGAATTATCCAAAGTAATCTTCAAAAACTTCACAGAATTATGAGACAGGTTTTATGGGATGCTTAAATAATTCCATTCTGACAGGCATCTTTGAATATAATGATGAATTTAGTTATTATTCCAGAAATGATGCAAACAAAAACAGTTTTAGTGAACTGAAAACGTTTGGTACACAAAAATTGATGAATTTTGTAATTGCTCCAGATACAATGCAAACAAAAATACTTTTAGTTAAATGAAAACATTTGGTACAAAAAAACACCACAGTTCACGATTTCACTTTTCGTCTTTAACCTGAAAATCAACATCACGCAGCATGCACTTAGTTGTGTCACATACACACACAAACACACGGTAAAAACTTTAAAAAAAAACAAACAAACAAACAAACAAATAATAAAAAAAAAAACAGACAACAAACAGAAAAAGTTCCTAATTGGTTTTAACAAAAAACATTTCTATACTGACACCAGGACACAGACATTTGACTGCAAGCTTCCAAATTGTAGTGTCCCTCTATAAAACCTTAAAGTTACTTCCATGATCTAATTAATATGATGAGATTTATTGCTCTCCATTATAATTGTGATTTTTGTCAGGTATTCTATATAGATTAAATGAGGCTAATGGTTGTTAAAATATTGGATATTAAACTACTGGATACAAAAAACAACTAATTTTAACTGCTGATTGAAGAAGTCATGATCATAGTTTTTAAGTGTTAAACAGAGCAGGTGGAATTCTTGACATTTTAAATCCTTCCTGGATTTTCAAATGTCTACGTCCCCAAATGTCTTTTGTTAAAACCATTTTTCAATTATCCATGCAGTCTAGCTACCTTATCCCATATTTCTTCCAGGAATCAGTGAAATCCTTACCCCTATAAAACAGAGAAAATCACATGTTTACCACATAGTTTGACACACATTCACACTTGAGACCTTAGATACCAACAAGGGTGATACCACATCTTCCTTGGTAAGCCTCCCCCCCCCCAACCCCCCCCCAAAAAAACTTTTTCTTTTTCTTTAAAATAATATAAAATTGTTTATCCAGCCCCAACCACACTTCACATAGGGGAAACAGAAAAAAATTCAGGGGTTAACATACTCTAAGGCTCAAAATTTAACAAAAAAATCTAAACTTTTCAATTATTTTTATTTGATAGTTTAGCAGGGGCTGTAAAATGAGCCTCCTCACTCCCCCTCTCCTCCCCTCCCCCCCCCCCCCCCCCTTCTTGTTATCTGTAATCCACCAATGTCTTTAAATAAATTTAGCCAATTCGGAAATATTTCGGTCAACCTAACATTTTCATACACATCCAGCTATTGATGATAAAAACTTATTTATTTGAATTTTAAAGCCAAAATAAAAATAAGATGCAACTGGCAGATTCTAATTAAGGAGTGGATGTATTCACACACACACAAAAAAAAATTTAATTTAAAAGTTTTACAAGTTGTCCCCAATTGCTGTGAAATGTTTTAAAGAGGGTGTGCAGGCTGCGCCCAGTTTGTACCAGTATATAGTGAAGCAAGCTTAGATGAAGTAAATCCTATTAAAAGATTAAGCATATGGACCAATGTGAGAACCAAGAATCAAAACAAGTCAAGTAATGATTCACAAGCAACAAGTATCATGGTATTAATAGAAGTCTAGATTTTTCGAAGTATTGAGTCTAGATTTTTCAAAGTATACATTATCATTTCACATTAAGGGTCCAAATTGCTGGGCAAATTAAGGGAGTAAAACTTTCAGTATTCTCTTTTATTTTTGTATATTTTGTTTATTTCCCCCAGGATTTTATGAAATAAGTGTGTACAGTGGTAAAAAATATCCACAGCAAGTTATGTACCGTAAGCAAATTGTAGCCAACCATTACAAACATTATCATGTACGATAAGCTGTTTGAACTACTGACTTCTTAGTTCTCAAATTATACCCGCCAAAATCCCAACATGAAAGCAATGCTGTACAATAAGTCTGTTCTACTAATCACAAGAAAAGATTCCTACTACTTTATATACAAGGAAAACAAACTTATTGTAGAAGCTGGGGGATCCAATACCCCTTATCTGTTGAGAGACATTATTACACAATCACTGGAGTTCTCCAGAGGCACAATATTAAGTTGCTGTATGCATTAATGCTAATATATTATTTACTTATATCAGTGACAAGCTGTACAAACCTCCCTTTCTCAAATACATCATGGATGATTGTATTCAAACTGAAGACTATGAGGATGGCAATGAAGATATGGTAGATTGTCTGGATGTGACTCACTTCAAACAGATCACTGAAATAAAAAAAAAGATCAGATTCCTGATATTAAAATACAAAGACATTGTGTCAAAAATGTAATCTTCAGTCAAGCATGGATATATATTATTAAATATATATTTAAAATGACATATGATACAATTCAATGATGAAACATTTGTAATAAATAATTGTATATCGTATAAGATATGTAAAGCCATTCAATATAAAATACCTGCATTATTTATTAAACTTTACCTTGTTTTTGCCATAAATAAATAAATAAATAAATAAATAAATAAATAAATAAATAAATAAATAAATACCTGCATTTAAATGTGGCAGAACTGAATAGACTTGCTTCCTTCCTACATGCCTCATTTTGCTTTGTAATTTATTATCATCATTTTTATTACTACTGCTAGCTAATTTCTCACTGGTAAAGTGAAAAATTAGCTATTTGTCAAAAACAGAGAAATGTCCTCCATTGAATGCAAAAAAACATGTACTAATATCATTATCATTATCTTCATCACCATCGCTATTATCATAAACCAGCTGTACTCACGTAAGTACTGAATTTCTTGGAACAAACACCTTGTCTCGTGGCTCCCCCTTCTTTCTGAAATTGTTAATTAATATAATATTTGACTGGTTACTGGAAATATAATGAAACTGTCCACCTGTCTTATAACAATGAAGAGTTAGCTACTACTAAAAATAAACAGTTACTTTTAATTAAGTGGTCAACAGAAGATTAATCTTGCACTTTAAGATGAAAATTTGACCCAAAATTTAGAGCCAACTTTCTATCTCAATGTTTTTATGAACCTGACTCCCTAGTCAAGAGGCACCTGCAGCTATGAGCAAGCATTCGTAAACGGTCAGGTAATACTCACTTCTTTGGCTTTGTTGCCTCCCCATTCTGTACATAGGAGCTGTCCAGGTCATAGTCTTGTGAATATTCATCTAGGAAATCAGCAATCTGACTGTCTACTTGATCAACTAGGTCCGACTTCAATTTCTGAAATCAATAAATTAACCAAACAATTAATTAATCAATCAATCAATCAATGAAACACCATCTTCAGAATCAATAAATTAACTTCCTCCTAAATAACAGAAAATGGACTAGTGAAGGGCGCTGAGTAGAATACAGATAGGCTAGTAATTATATGAGTACGCTAGGAACAAGAGGAAGCATGTTAATCGGTTAACCAGCATACAACAAGACTCCCCACAAAGTTGCATCAACCTATGAAGAAAGATAGTTTTATTGCAAATGCCCTTACAGAATATATGGTTGCAGTTACAAAGTCTGGAAAAAGAGGGGTCAGAATAACTAGACAAAGTGGGATAACTGTAACTGAGGTGGGTGAAGCCAAGAAAGGTTCAAATAATTTTACTAGAAAAATGACAACATATAAAGATGCAGAGTAAAACACGAAGCGCATCTTTTTCTGTCCAAATACACTACTGGTGCAACACTGTGTTTTGTAATAACTACCTCAAGTTTTTCCCGTAGCTTTGTGGTCTTCAGCTGTTTATCAAAAGCCACATCTCCCGTCCATAAACCTGAAAACAAAATGATTTGGAAAATGAAATAGTCATTCTATTAAGATTAGCAATATAATAGAGAAAACCAACCATTAAATATTAGAAGGACTGAACTTTCCTTATGCCTACATAAAATATAGACTTACTTTAGTTTATTGTAAATATTTTATATCTCTTTTAATTTGTTTTTAAGGCCAGTCTTTTCAACTAAAACTTATCACTTATTCTGTCTCATTCTACAGTACATCTGAATCCACTTAATAGATATGAGATCTTTATTATTATAGCAAGCAATGCAGGGGCAGATTTAGGGCGTCTTCTGGGTCTTCCGGACGGTCAAAAATGAAGAATGGATCAACAAAGATAATTTGGAAGACTGTCAGGAAATAACTCTGAAACCGCCTCTGCAATGTACAGTCACGTGTGTGTGGGGGGGGGGGGGGGGGGGGTACCTTGGGTGGAGGTGCATGTACTAGTATATCCTAATCACTCATGCCTTAACGCTTATGTAACCAAGCCTTCCAAGGTTATATAACTTATAACATATTCATGTGTTGATATTTATACAATTTATTCCTCAGCCTTAGGATTTGCAGAGGTACTCCTTCTTTCTTTTCCTCGAAAGTCAAACCCCAAGAGTACCATTTTGTACCATTTTCAGTGAAACATTAAACTCACTGAAGCACCGTGACTCATTCCACGGTGTTCTCAGTTGACCCGAGTGACCCGACGGGGGAAGGAGATCTTAACAAATAGATTATAAACGAACGCGTGCCAAAATGAAATAACTTTCGATTGTATTGACATAAAGAGTAATCTTAATCACATATCTTGATGTGTAGCACTACATTTAAAATAAAATACCTGTAGGCTCGGCGATGTTTTTCTCTCCCGCTTGTCGCCGTCGCAATCCCACGTTATCCATTTCCTTATTTTGTTTACTTGTAGATGGCAGTAGTACAAGAGAATCTAAGAAAATAGTTTTATTTTACCTTATACGTGAACAAAAAATAGTAAAACATACTTTATGAGGCATATAATACTACTAAATATCATAATTCTAAATAAAATATCACTGGTGAAGTTCGCCGAACAGTTACAGTGTATATACACTAACTAACCCCATCTTGAAATTATTGCCACCTATATTAAAGAAATAGGTCATTTTTAGGAAATCATGTGACAATATTGGGTCATCAAAACACAGTGATTCATATCTGGATTCATTGGTGACTTATTAATGATAAGGTTACTATTGCAATTGGCCCTGCAATCACCTGATATTTGTGGAAATTGACAAGGCGCTGGATTTTAAAACAAGGAACACATGCGAATCGAAATGTGTGCGGATTTCTGTTCAAATTTCAGGACATTGTATTTAATGACCAACCGAACTCTCGGAACGTCGTCAGTGTCAATGCGGCATTTGTTTATACTGTGTTTGCACTTTCTGATTTTGGTGTCACCTGTTAGATCAGAGACTTGTACAAAGCTTGGTCCATGTAAGTGTAAAACTAGCAAAGGGACTATCGACTTAACGCCACTCTCTGGGAACGGACAGGTCGCAAAGTAAGTGCCACTCTTACGCAAGAGGTAAACACGAATGAAAAATCGGTCAAACGGTCAATTTACCTTAGTCAGTAAGAAAAGTACAAAATTGGCAAGAAATAGACGGATCCCGATCTCTGAACTTACTAGGTCTACCCCCTCTAAACGAATTTATTTATAGAAATAAGTAAATAAGAATGAATAAAGAAAATGAAAATGGATGTTCAGCCCACTTGGGACTTTGTAATAATACTTAATACATACATGTTGACTTAAAACTGTGCTAACTTTGATTGTTTGTGTGTGTGTTTATGTGTGCGAATGCATGTGTGTGTCCCATCCCTACGAGTGAAAGAAAGATCTACTCACAAGGGTACATGAAACAAAATCGGTATAATGTGATTACAATAAATCTCTAGTTGCATGTTTCAGGTTCACTTTCACTGACACTGGCTCCAAGGATGTCTACAGCTTTAGTCCATGTGTAGCTTTCTCTCAGTTTGCTGGATGCGCTGATGCTGCTGTAAGTTCAACCATAATATTCTCTTTTTAACAAGTAAATCCTGATAACTATGAGTAAACAGGTTTTTCATGGTCTCTAGATAGGATGATGAAATAAATATTTACCTAGAGACTAAATAACACCATTCAAACACGATGTTGCATGTTTGTGAGGTGGTGGACCAAAACTTTATGCTTGACTGTTGTTATTTTGTCTCTGATAAAAGAATAATTCTATTTTACTAGCTAGTAAGTCATTGTACATAAAGGCACCTGAATGCTATTGACATAGTTGAATGATACCATTTAGATTATGAAGAACCAGCAAACTTACTAGTAATTAAATTCGGGGGCAGATGGAGGCCATCTTCTGGCTCTTCAATATATTGTGTGTGATCATTCCCCAAAGTTTCAGTTATCTTTGCATAAAAGTTCTGTTCTTTTAAAATATGCTTCAAATGGCCTCCAAGGCATTGGATTCAACACTTGCATATGTTGCGAAAAAATTGTTAATTTCTCAAACACATTTCTCCTTCTGGATTTCCCTGATTTTTGCTGTGATTGCTCCCGAGAGTTCACTACTCATTTCAGGGTTGTTCACACACACACACACACACACACACACACACACACACACACACACACACACATCACTATTACCAGTTTCTTATCTATTTATCTGAAATAAATCCACATGCCAAAAATTGATCACTCAGCCAAACAAAAACTTAAAAACTGCACTTTCTTCAAATTTCTGGTTGTAGATTTTTAAAACCTATTTTTCCATTCATCCAGTTTGTAAAATGCCACCAAGTGATACAGTTGTATGTGATATATTACTCTGCTTTGTGCAAGAGCATAATTATTCAAATGAGTATTGACAAAAATGACTAAATGTAAGATAGATAGATTGATTGATTGATTGATCAATCACAGAAAGAAAGCAATGGACAAATCCTGATTACTTAAGTCACCTCCCAGCCCCTTTTTGGGGAAATATTAAACAACTTTTTTCACCTAAAGTTATGCTGTTTGAATCTGCATGGTCATGGTGGCATTAGGTCCAATTTGGTGGCAATAATTTGAAGTTTCAACCATTTAAAATGCATCTTTAATTTTTTTTAAAAACTGTCAAATAAACTGCTTTTATTTTCAGATGTGTCAGCTGCATGGTGGAGGTTATTATTTACTTGGCAAGCAAGACAGCATGGAGTTTCTGGGAGACCCCCAGGCAGGCAGTCTGGTGATGCACTTTCTCCCACAGGCTCTGAGGGAGAGCAGGATAACCCTTCACTGCAGTCCTGGAAAGGAAGGAGAGTTTATATTCATAAAAGAAGATCAGGATCCTTCTACAAAGCTGTCCACTTTTGTTAGTATTTGCCATGTGTTGTATTAAATCTTTTTACCAGATGTGTGAATATTTTAATTATGTTGAAAACAATTTAAAACGGACAAACATTTGTACTGTCAGTAATTAACAATTTTTACTAGATTGCAGGGCTTTTTGTTGGACTAACTGTAAGTTCCAAATGGCAACTCCTTAAAATTGATTCTTGGTCTTTGAACTGACATAACACAATTTTCTATTGGTCCTTAAAATGTTACCTCACATGACTGGTAACACTGACAGTTACAGCATGTCTGGTTAATGTATTTAACTATTTTGTTTTGGATGAGGAAAATGAAAAGATCTATTACTTTGATAAAAAAAAAATCACTCATTAAATGAACACTGTGAAAATTATATTTAGTATAGCATTGAAAAATGTTATACTTATAGTTTCAATTGCATCTAGGGTTTGGCATTTAATAATTTTTTTCTTTCTTTTCAGCAATTTAGTTTGACAACAAAGTATGCTTGTCTACCTGAGCATAGTTTGAGTTTGGGCTCTGTACTCTGTATAATGTGAGTATTATTATCTAGGTACAACCAAATGCAGCGTCACTGAACACTGTCATACAATACAACACTGTCACAACTACCACAGTACAACACTGTCACACCTACCACAATATTATACTGTCATACATATCATTATACAACACTGTCACACCTACTATAATACAACACTGTCACACCTACCACAATATAATACTGTCATACATATCATAATACAACACTGTCACAACTACCACAATACAACACTGTCAGACCTACCACAATACAACACTGTCAGACCTACCACAATATAATACTATCATACCTATCACAATACAACACTGTCACACCTATCACAATACAACACTGTCACACCTACCACAATACATTCTTTACTTTGCTGTGCCTCAGCAGGAGTTTTGAACTGCACTGTGGGGAAATTGAGAGCGCAAACTATAAGATGGTAGGCCTGTCATTATCATGCATATATTGATATTTTGTTTCAGACTGCTAGTGCTAGTAATCATCTACCTGGTCTGTGGAATTCTCTTCTTGAAGTTTGTGAGAGGGGCGCAGGGGGCAGAACTCATACCAAACCTGGATTTCTGGAAAGATTTCCCTTTTTTAGTAAGGGTAAGTTATTAATTTAATTTTAATTTCTAAGAAAGTTGTGTGAAACTATGTCACTTCATGGTACTGTAGTTGTTTATAATGGTAATATATATATTACTCTGAATAAAAGAACTGAGATAATTACCATGTGTCGGCATAAAGTGACGTAACTAACACGGCGTGCGACGTAAGTGTCGTCACGCTGTGTATGTAAAACGGTTAATATAACCATTTTCAAATAAACCTCCTGACGATTGGGCATACCTTCTGGGTATGCCCATGAAACTCGGAGTCGGGGTTATTGCATGTCTTTTGTTTATTTATTTATTTATTAATTTTAATTGTGTGTATATATATATATATATATATATATATATATATATATATATTTTTTTTTTTTTTTTTTTTTTTTTTTTTTTTTTTTTTGCAGAAGACCCATATATACCTGTAACCTTTCATGTCTTGTCTTTATGTTGATTGTTAGCTAATTTTTTTACAATATTCTAGGACGGATTTTATTTTGTCAAAAATGGTTGTAAAGAAGAAAGTACATATGAGAAGATCTAGACATCATCCAGTTGGCAGGAAGGCAGGCAGCTATTTCTGTGAGGTCATCTAACATCAATATCACTGTGTCATCTGTCACCATTTCATAAAGAACAAGATACACTTTGTATATATATATATACAGTGTGGGTAATGATTTTACAGTTTTCAATGGCAAAGGCTTTCAGAATTTTCTGAAGTGGCAATTAGGTTTCATAATTTGAAATAATTGAAAAGTTAATTAGGAGCCAATACTGTGATAACCAGCAAGATGTTTATTTTTCTTCATACAATTTTTAGTATGATGAATATTAAACATTAAAATGTGTACTCTAGCTTAAGGATACTCTGTAAAGGGGAGAGGGGGGTCCAGAAAAAAAAAAAAACCTTCGTAGACAAGTTTTGTGAAAATGATGGTAAAAGTGGATGACCCCTAAAGATGCTAGTGGCAAAAATTATGCTAAGTTTATCCTAGAAATATATTTTAGATGTAAGTTTAAGATGTAAAGATTTATCTTTTAGACATTTGGAAAGTTTTGAGCATCTGTCTAGAACTGAGATTGGTATTTCCAAATGGACCAATATAGGTTGTTGCAATATTTATATGCTTAGGTTTAATGTATTATGAATTCCATTCTTATGAATATTGTACAGAAAAAAAAACTCTTAGTTTTATTTCCTTTAGTTTTTTATGTACAGACACAGATGTGTCTGTACATATTGCCATCACCTGCGTCTGTCGTCGCCGTCGTCGCCGATGCCGATGGCGATGCCGATGCCGATNAGTCACATTTTCTGAAAATCCATGATACGTATATTTTATTATTAAAAATTGACGGTCATTATGCTGTTAACCATTATGTAATATGGCATCAGAATAGAAGAAAACACAATTTTGGGTGCTGCTGCCATGATGACCATTATGGGAAAACCATGTTACTTATGATTGCCAAACTTTCAAAAAAGAAATACAGGACTAAAATGCAGCCTGAGTTGGAAAAGCAGTCTAATTGGCTTCTTTTTCTGGAAGTTATACATTTTCAAAGTGTGAACTTGTTACACATTTTACTTACATTGGTATTACCTGTTGAGCATAATTAAAATTTGATGTTGAATTTGCAGTTTAACATAATGTTCTTTTGCATCAGAATTGACAGTAGCCTATTTAGTGCATAGTTATTTCCTGTTTTTTGTCTGTACATTTGACAGCTTTGCTGCCTTGTTATATAGTTATAATTAATGAAGACTGCTCTTGTGCCATTCCACAGGCAAGCTCAAATAACTTGTACATTGTACATAAATCATATGTATCAGTAGAGTTGCCATTTTTATAATGAAAGCAATTTTTGAAACTTTTTCTCTGAAAATTGTATTTTACTGGACAACAGAGTTGCTTGAACATACAGGAAATCCAGCGACTTATACTTTTATGTTTTTAACGCTCACAGACTTATAGAATCTGTGAATCTTTCTACCAAGAAGGCAGGTACTAGTATTTAGAATTCTTAGAGTATTAACATGTGGCAACATCAATTAGGATACCTTTACTTTTGTTTGTGTGGAAATAGCTGAAATACCATGAAGTTATATGTTAACAAAACTGGGATAAATGTCTACAAACAGTTAAACTTTGGTAAAACTTCTCCAGTATTTCCATGTTTAGCCATACATCTTCATAAGGTGAAGCATTTCATTAGGACAAGGTTACTTATCAGACACTAAGGCATTAGGGTGGAAATATGTGTTGTTTAAAAGGTTAAGATACTGTGTATCAGTAGTTATACAGCTTGACATTGGTTGAGAATATGTTGGGCCATAATTAGCATATGATATCCAGTGTTTTTTATTTTAAATTTTTTTTATTTGTATGTATTTTTGTTTAGACTTGTTTTTTAGGCATTTTCAGCTGAACTTTAAAAGGGCTACTTTCTTGCTTTGGAATATAAATTTTGTAACATTCTGTCACAGGTTATTATCTCTAATGGAATAGTTGGATTTGTTTAATTGCTTATAATACTACATCAAGAAATTGTACCAGTTTGCCAACTAACCTTTGTTGGTGCCTTACTAGTTTGGTATAGTTGAAATAAGTTGAAAATAAGCTACGTAATATGATGTTATGTATTGCGTCTTTGTTTCATAATATAGCCCAATTTAAAACACTAATGACTTAGATCTGGAAACAGAATGTGGAAGTCAAATCCTTTTGTATTTAATGATCCTTAATGATATTGTAGGGTCCCGTGCCTTAAAAATCACAAGTAACATATTTTTAACAATGATTTTAAGAAGTTTAAAGGATGTAATTAAACCAAAACAAACTGTTCAGGGGGGTCTACACGTTTGATGTATATTGTAATGGGAAATAAATGAGTTTTTAAGACCAGGATTTAGACCTTCATTTTACAGCAAAACTCTGCTGTGTCTTCTCTGCCACATTTCCCTGCTGTCTTCTCTGCCACATTTCTATGTCTTCTCAGTCACTGTCTTCTCTGCCACTTATCTCTGTGTCTTCTCTGCCACTTTTCTATGCTGTATCTTCTCTGCCAGTGGCACATTTGTCAGCTGTGTATTCTCCACCACACATCTGAGCTGTCTTTTCTGCCACATTCATCTGCTGCTGTTGCAGTTTTAAAACTCCTAAATCATATTCAAAATACATTCCAGTTTTTCGATAAAACCAGTGCCATCCTGTCATGTCATGTAGTCTACGACCATTTTTGATAGGTGCGGAACCTATTCTCCATAACTGACTTACGGTGTATGCGGCAGACCTCGGTCTTAACAAGGGGAAGATGGGAAAAAATCTACAACATCGGATTTGATTGTGAGCACACCGCACAATCTAATGGTTACGCCAGTTAGGATAGAAGAGGTTCAACACCGTCCTTATCATAACTTTCGGTATTAGATTAAATCATCAGAACTGCAACAGTTGGTATGGAGCAAAAGGTTAAGCTTGGATAGCCTAGAATATTACAGGAACTGATGCATGTTTCTGAAAATTCCAAATTTTTCGTAAGTTCAAAAATGACCATCCAGTCAACTGAAATTTTGAACAGGAAAAGGAAAACATCAATTAAACAGCATTTTTCCACATTCAAAAAGCTCACATTTACATCTGTCTAAGATCTGTGTGACTCCATTTTCGTGTTAGCCTGAGGAATTAAAGAAAAATCTCCGAAATCATAATATATATATATTGAAGCAGGTAAGACTGAAATTCGTTTGTTGATACTAATAGGAATAAAGCAGATGATGGGAGAATAACAATACGTGTGCATGGTTGATAACGAAGCAATGTTGCTAATTAATCACAGACTCCCCGTTCCTCCCAGCCCCGGCTCCGGTCGCCAGTCGACAGCTACACGGTACATGTTCGAGACTTGGGTACGCCCCGGTTATGCTTTCAGACGGATGTTATATATATGACGTAATCTTAGTTTTCCGTCGTATGTTTTCATATATAATTCTAAGTCTTGTAATTATGCTGTCCGAGGAGAACTTGGGTGCCTACCAAGCTACACAAAAATCTAAATACAAGTAATCAAATACTGGGTCAAAAGTTTACACTTAGATGATGGTGTCCTACTAAAACGGGCATACTTAGATGAACTAAAACACTTTGATCTTCTGTCAAATACTAACCTTCACAACACACGCCATAGTATGTCATGGAGTGAAGGAGTAAAGAAAATTCTTGTAGAAAATGGGTTCGGAGACGTATGGGTCAAACAGAAAGTAGACAAAAACTTCATGAAAATTTTTAGTGTTAGACTTAGAGACAGTAGTATACAACTTTGGCATAGTAGGATATCACAAGAAAATCTCAAATTGAGAAGGTATAAAACTTTCAATCTTCATTTTGAGAAAGAAAAGTTCTACAACCTGTTGACTTCTACTACGCATGAGTTCCGCCCATCGTGGCTAAATGTTGGGTAATATATCAGGATTGACGTATGTCTTTCCGGACATGCTCAGTGCCTGTGGGAGGGAGAAAGTATAATATATATATATATATATATATATATATATATATATATATATATATAAACTAGTATTAGTGTTAGAATAAAAATTTCATATCGGCTACTCTCAATTCGTTTTCCTACGTCCTCCATTCACTTTTTATTTACTGTTTCAGAATATTTTTATTATTCAAGTCATTGCACAGTTATAATTATATAATCTCTGACATGATTTGAGCTAACAGACGGTGAGGACAATTTTTCCAGCTTGTGTCAGATACTTATGATTTATATTCAAGTACTGAGCTAATGGGCATTTTTGCTCATTTATGAAAATATTGTCGTGGTTTTCCACGCATTAGCTAATATAAAAAAATAGTGGAACTATCAGTAAAACACATACACAGACGCTCAAAGTCTATCTTACATCTTCACCATCTAATTTATAAAGATTGTTTAAATAAGCAATATTTATTGTTGAAATTAATTTTATCAGTGACTATTCTAACACATTGCACAGTCCTAGATAATGAGTCAAAATGTTTTTGAAGTTCACATTTACCACAAAATACATGTACATATATTTTGTTTTCAGATACTTCAACAACACCGGGATAAAAATTGGATATCTGGCGCCTTAGAGAATCAGCCCTATAAGTATTAAGTATGGTGGACATATCTGGCACCACAGCCTATTCAAAGACTACAGAACACGTCCCATGCAGTACACGTGCCAAAAAAGCGTGCAGAATCCTGGCCTACACCATCATTATCGCTTTTGCCATTACCACTTTATTCAGCTTTGTGAAATTATCCGACTTTTTTGCGAAAATACGGGTGTCGATTCCCTACCCAAAAATTGTGGCAAAAAGTCGATTACAGGAAAGACAAAAGACTACGTATTCTCCTGCCGGAGTCATCCCCGCCACGTCCAACAAGCCTAAGGTGATTCTGTCCTGGCCTCCCGGGCCGGGGTGGGACTTCATGCACCTCAGAGACTGTGCTAAGCCCGTCTTTAAATCCATTGGCTGCAAAGTAGACAACTGCATCTACACTGAGAAAAAGTCTTTAGCTGATAAAAGTGACGCTATTGTTTTCATAGGCAGAAGTTTGGGAAGTAAACCAAAAAAATTGCCCCATCAACGGTGGATATGGGTAACCCTCGAGAGTTCGTGTCATACCGAAGCCGCAGAAACCGGAGGTGTTTGGGCAGGGATGTTTAACTGGACCATCTCATTTCGGAGAGACTCGACCTTTTTTCTTCCATATGGTCACGCCAAGAAACGATCGACCCCTCTTACCAAAATTTTCACCAAAATTGCGCTCAAGAAAACTAAAAAGGTGGCCTGGATGGTCAGCGACTGTGGGACACGGGGTCAACGAGAAAGATATGTCTCAGAACTTAAGAAATACATCTCAGTTGATGTGTACGGTGCGTGTGGCCCCTTTAAGTGTTCAAAACTCGACAATGAAAAATGTTTGGACATTATTAGCAGGGACTACAAGTTTTACCTGTCCTTTGAGAATAGTATATCAACAGATTATGTAACAGAGAAATTTTGGAAAATGTTCGATCTAGACATTGTAACGGTAACGAGAGGCCCGGCAAATTATTCAAGGGCTGGAATAAAACCCGAGTGGCACATTAATACGAACGATTTTAAATCTCCCAAAGATTTAGCAGACTATCTGAAATATCTGGACAGAAATGTCACGGCGTATGTTAAATATTTAGAGTGGAAGAACCAGTATGTTGGACTGTTCCCAAAAGCAGATGTATACTGTGATTTATGTGCCAAATTAAACGACCCCAGTGAACCGGTGACATGGTACCCGCCGGGACAACTGGCCAAGTGGTTTATAGATGGACACTGTATTCCTCCTAATGATTTGAATTTTAACTCTTAAAATACCTACCAATTTAAAGTATGGAGTGAGAAATTAATATACGGTAATGTAAATGATACATATACAGTGTAGCTGAGAACAGGTCACATTTCACTATTTGATTGTATTACGCATTGTCTCTTGGTTTGTAAACACATCCCATTTCTCAACTAACGCAATCGATGTAAGTATGGTTGCGACAGGAATGGTTGTCATGGGGACCTTGGGTACACACACACACACACACACACACACACACACCAGAGGTACCAAGTATATGTATATGACTTGTGAATAAACTGACCTGTATACCCCATAGCTTCTGTAGACACTCTAAGCGCAGCAGCCCTTTATTGAAACAGTTTGTATTCCTTAAATGTACACAAAAATGTTTGTCCGTTATATTGTGAATTAATGGTACCATCTTCAGATTTTATATTGTTTCCATTTCTAAATGGTACAACATATGCATGGGGTTGGTATACTTTACCCAAAATAACATAACATTGGTCAAAGAGGTGTGAGTGAAATGAAATAGTTCGTTTTTGTCTTCTCTCTGAAAAATGCAATTTACCGTGGCCTAGACATTGGCATATGTATTCTTGTTGCTAATATGCATCGATGTTTTTTCCCCTCTTTTTGAGATAAAAAACATTTGTCAAAAAGTAAAATGCTAAAGTATACAGACAGGGGAAATACATGTATGTATTCATTTAACTGCAAGGCCCTGAATAAAACTAAATAACATAAATAACCTTGTGAAACACCCTTATCTCAGCTTGCACAAGGGAATATGGACCATTTAAAAATTAATGGCTATTATAATTTAGAAAAAACTCCCAGAAATTTTGTAAAATTGCTGAAATGTTACACTTATTACAGTATTTTCCCTTTCCTGCATGGTATTAAACAAATGCAAAATAAATAAATAAATAAGAGAAAATACATGTATTACGCACTTTGCTAATCCAATCTATCTGAAAAACGCTAAATCTCGACGATGAAAATTAAATGTTATTTGTCAAGTAGTTTAAATAAAATTAAGCATTCTTCCTATGGATTCACATTCTTTCTTAATTGCCGTCTTTCTCCTTTCACCTTTCTTTCGTTGTTTTTATTTATTTATTTATTTAATTATTTTATTTTATTTATTTATTTATTTATTATTATTATTATTATTATTTTTTTTTTTTTTTTTT